AGGTGCTCTAACCACTGAGCTACATCAACTGGACACAGGGTTGAAGAGGTCCTCAAGAGGTCCTCACCTCTCTTCAAACATCTTGGAACCCCAGCAGACTGGAGACGGTTACAAAGGGTGCCCATACTATTGGAAATTGCTCATACCACATTGCAAAGCCACTCCGGTTAGGCAATCCATCGGGATGATCAAATGGTCGGTTGCTGACAGGCCTGTTGTATGCCTAGTAGCCAGCCTCTACAACAACCTGGACTTAAAAAAGTTGCATTCCGGAGGTCGTGGGTTCAATCCCCATTGGCCTCACGTTCATGCCTGGGCATGCTTGGTGTTCTACCAGCTAGAGATAACCCGGTGGCCCCCAAAGCCAGCATTGGCAGGACCTTGGGCAATATTGTTGGTTGCTATGCAGCAATGGTATTGGCCATTAGACACCTGTAATGTGGGGTTGAAGGGGGCTCGGGGGAGGTGCAAGTGACTGGCCAAAGATGCTCGGCACTAGCATTGCCGGTTCCCCCCCCGTCGGCAATGCCTGATCACCCTTTCATCGTGATGAGGGGCTGATACAAGCCTTGCTCTTACACCACAGCTGTGGTGCCAACCTACCCCGTGGGCCCATGGGCTGGGGAGAGTTCCAGGTTTGGTTGGTGTTCCCCCGTACTATACATAGAGTACTGAGAGGATGACATAGATGAGATATATGAGAAATAATATACATAGATAGATTCAGAGCAGAATATAGATTAGTTTTCTACTAATAATAATTATTATTTAAAAAAAAATAAAAAAAAAAATAAAAACAGAAAAGAAAAAGAAAAGAAAGGCACGCAAACTAAAGCTAAGTAATGGCAGAGGGTTTAGGATGGCCTGGAATTTGTGTTTCAGGTGGTCCCATGCCCCCTTGGTTCTCTCGTGGAGGTAGTCAGCCATGTGTTCCCTTGCTTCAGATCTGGTCATCCAAATGTGTGCTGAGGGCACTCAAAGGAGCAGCGTGCCCTCCAGGCCACCATGAGAAGTTCAAGTCTGGTGATGGCGAGGAGGCCCCAAAGGAGGCAATAGACTGGTTCGGGGATCAATGGATAGAACCCGGCATAGTCATGGCCGAGGTGCAGGGATCACATATAGAATGGAACGACTCGAGGAAGGAAGGACACTGCTGGCCATTAAAACCGCTCTCTCACTTCCGTGTCCCGACTTCGGCAACCCCCCCCTCCTTTGGTCTCTGTTCTGGATGAATCCCATGCCCTACCCCCGAGTCCCTCCTTGTCCCACCGCCTAACCCCCTGCTTCCTGACCCCTCTGTCAGTACCCACACCCAAGGTCTATCCTTTTCCCCACCCACAAAGACAAACTGACAAATAACGGGAACGATAGCAAATAAGCATTTATGGCCGCCGCTGGTAAAAAGCCACAGGGTGGGCACAAATGGTTAAAAGGTACCCTCACTTTTCACCCCTAGGGTAACCTTGCACTCTACAGATTGGTGTAAAGTATGGTTAAAATGACCCTTTGGTTTTCTTATAAATGAGGGTGAAAATTGGGGGGTCGGTTAACTTTCTCTCGGTAAGTTGGGGGGAGTACCGGATAAATATGCAACGGGCAGAGGGTTTAGGATGAGAGAAGAAACCAGAGGGCTACTAGTAGGTTGGTTGGGGAAGGGGTTGGGACAGAGGAAGGGTTTAGGAAGGGTTTAGGGGACACAGTCCCAGAAGGAAGGGCAATTGGGAAACGGCTGCTACGTACGACAAGCCTTCCCTCCACCACACAATGGAGAAGGGTAAGGCAGAGGGTTTAGGATGAGGGAAGAAACCAGAGGGCTAGGTTCGGGTGCGGAAGGGGTGAGGGGAGCGGAAGGGTTCCGAGTCAGAGAGGGTTCAGGGGACAGAGTCCCAGAAGGAAGGGCAACTGGGAGAGGTCCACTGGGTATGACAAGGGTTACATTAGCACTTGGTTACACAGCACCAAGACACAGGGGGGCTGCAGAGACCTGGAATTGGCTGCGACCAATTAGCCTCAGGGAGGTATAGGACGGAAAGGACAATCTGCAGTTATTCCGGGAACGGGGCAGGGCTAGTATAAAGAGGGGGCTCCACAATGGGAAGAACAACATTTGCAGCTCCATGGAGAACGGAGATCCTGGGGCAGGAAGTGTGACGGCTATAGCCCCAAGAAACTATGGAAGGAAAACACAGTGTTGCAAAATGTACTCGAGGGACGCTGGACCCCGTTTCCAGCAGGTGCCGCTCCCCACCAATCGATGGAGCAGCCCAGACAAGCCCTCAATTCTGGTGGTTCTCTCACCACCACTGGGATAGAGCCATCCACATCAGGGGCTGCATTTGCATCTGTTCTTTTTTTTTTCCTTTCCCCCCCCCCCCCCCCCCCCTCATACATCATCCCTAGTCGATTTGATGAGCAGTTAATCCCCTCGCCTGAGGTAAAGCAATGCTGCTCAGTGCTCATCAATGACTACTCATGATTGGTTCCGGTTTTGCAATTGGGACGCTGGACCCGATTTCCAGCTGGTGCAGGTCCCCACCAATAGATTGGCGCCATCTTCTATTGGGGTCCTATTCCCGGAGGGTGCTCCTATCACCTCCTTGAATAGGCCCCTTCCAGATGTTTAGAAAAAAAAAAAAAAAAAAAGGATGCCCAAATCAAATGCGACAGGAGCCCCCTTTGCTGATGATTGCTTTTTTTTTTGTCTTTTTTTTTTGTTTTGTTTTTGTTTTGTTTTGTTCCCTTATGATTGCTTTCAAAAAAAGAAAACAGAAGAAAAGAAGAAAAGAAAAGCCGTCCCCTAACACCTTCTCTTCTGTGTACCGTCTTCTGTCGCATCGTTGATTACTGTTGCTGGATGGCAATGGTGGAATCGTCTTCTCCTCCCCTTCTCCATTTGGTGGCAGGGATAACGGGAAGCAAGTTTATCTAGGTAAGCCATCAGGGTCCCCTAAGGCTTGTATATTCAGCTTTGTGTGCCATACTTCAACTTTCTGAAGGGCCTTGCGTTTGATCCTCAGTGTACTTGCCCAATTTTTTTTTATATTTTTAAAAAATTATTATTATTATTTTTTATATTTTTTTATACTTGCCCAATATGAATGAATGCTCTCTCTTTATTTATTTATTTATATTATTTTATTATTTTTATTATTATTATTATCAGGGTTACCTGACCGAACGTTCGGGGGTCCCCGGGCTGGCCCCCGAACGTTCGGGCGTTTGGGGTCCCGTTCGGGGGCCGAACACCTCCAGGTTCGGCCCCCGCCAAAACATATTTCGGGGCCTAAACATAAGTTTTTTTTTCTGAATGTTTTTTTGTGAGTTCTCTATGATGTAACCTACACGCCTATAAATTTTGAAGCCATTCTGCTTAGCCAAAAAAACATTAAAAATCTTCAAAGATGGGGGTGTCAAAACGTGCTCGCCCACTCACTATTTTGTTTTTTTTCACTTTTAACTTTTTGTTTTCACTTTATTTCGGGGCCTARAAAAWWTTATYRTTTTTTGAAAAYTTTTTAAYGAGTTATTGATTATGTAAACTASATATCTGTAAATTTTCAGGGCATTTGTCAATGCCAAAAAATAATTAAAAATCGGCAAAGATGKCGGTGTCGAAAAGGTGCTGGCACACTCACTCATTTTAATTCTCTTTTTATTTTTTCTTATTTTTATCAAAGTGTTTATTTTCTGTATTGGATTTTTAATTCAAATTTGTTAAAGAATTTGGATGTAGTGCCCAGGCAAATGTTGTTCAGTTTAAAAATTTGAAGTAAAAAAAAAAAAAAAAAAAGTGTTCACAAAATTCCGAAATTACTAGTAGTAGTAGTAGTAGTACTTTATTTTGCTACTTTTTTTTTTTTTTTTTTTTTTTAACCATCAAAAGAATTTCGATTTGTAAATCAGATCGACATCAACATTGCGTACATTTTCTTTCCCAGCCCCTCAACATATACGGAGAAAAACAAAATCTACCAGCGACAAGAAGGCAAGAGAAGTGGAGGAAAAAGACCTGCCTTGACCTGGGTCTAGTCCCACCTACAGCATTGAGTTTTCTCAACGCTGAGCTTTCTATCACGTGCGGCATGGTGGGACGGAGCTCTGCCGTTGATGTATTGCGATCTGATGGTGCCGAAATACAGGAAAATAACCTATTAGATTTTGTCTTTTTGTAGAATTTTTATTTGACGTGAAAACCGTTTTGTAGTATGCTTTGGCCCTTTTGGTTTGGGCGGGAAACCATTGTGCGTTGAGAAAACTACCCTACCGAGGGTAGGGTAGATTTCTCAACGGCCGTGCCTTTCCTTTTTTCGGATTTTTTAGACATCATTGCATCCTGAAACGGAGGAACTCTAACAGCTGTGTTTGGCTCTCTGGCATGAAACTCGTTTCCTTCTTTGGGCAATGAATGCATTTGGCCATCCACGTTGTCCCTGTCCATTTTACGAATGGTGACCTCTTGTCCCCTCACCACGGGGAGTAGCCCTTTTTCACGGAGACGGTCACTCCGACTGTTCCAGACATTTTCATTTCTTGTTATAAAAAATAAAGAGAAAAGTTGTTTCTAGCTTTTTTTTCAGTTTTTTTATTTCTTGTTTCGAATCTATTAAAGTCGAAATGGCGTCACACCGTTGAGTTTTCTAAACTCAACAACCTTAGGTGGGACCAGACACCTGGGAGGCTAAGGGAAATCTATCATCGACCACAAGATAAGAGAAGTTGGGGAAAAAAAAAAAGAAAAGGACATGGCCCCATCTAGGAGGTTAAGGGCATATTGTGACTGTATCGGACCCTGCTAATGACTACATTCCGTAGATAAAGAACTACGGTAGTGCGAGTACAATTGCCTCTTGTTCCGTCTGGTACAACGAGGACAAGACTGAAGAGTGGACAAGAGTGCAGAGATAAGGAGATTGAGACTAATAAGTCGATCATGATGATTGGAAGACTCTGACCTACACAAGACCACAACTCCGCACACATCCGAAAAAATGGAAACTACCTAGAATTAACACTATGTTTCTCCTTTCTCACTTAAAGTTTCTCTCTTGCTCTTTCTTTCCCTCACACCTAGACGATCGCTTAGTTGATCGCGGACAAAACACCCTGCTCCAACAGCAGCGTGAAGTTCGACTCGTTGGCTGCCGGGCCCTCGAATTGGATGGGACCGGGGTTTCTGAACCGGTCGTTGATGGCCCAGTCGTCGCGCACGGCGGCAAAAGCGGTGAAAGGCGCGCCATCGAGCTCGACGAGGGCCTTTCTGATGACGGGCTTGTTCTTCCCCTTTCTCCTCTCCACTTGCATGAGGCTTGTGAGAGGCGTGCCTCCTGCGGTCCACTCCTTCATCGGCGCCGTCAGGTTGTTCACAGAGGCCATGTAACCCGTCAATCCAGATTGAAGAAGGGCTCCCGCCGTGTACCCCAGAGCGTACGTGTAGTTGGCATCGAAGTTGGAAGGCAGTCCGCACCGGCCTTCGTACCCGAAGAAGTGGTTCTGGCAATTGAAGCTGCCCTTGAACGTGCCCTCGTCTTTCTTCACCTTCAGGTCGGCCACGACCATCTCCATCAGCATCTTCTCCATCTCAATCTTCGACACCTGGACATTGCCGTGAGGGTCTCGCTCGAGCAGCAGCTGCTCTTGGATCGTGGGCGGAAGGATCTCGAACACGCTCCTCGACGCCGCCGTCAGGTCCTTCTTCCACTCTCCCTCCTTGTCGACGGTAGTCTTCGCGAGAATGTCATTCAACTCGGCGATCAGGATGCTGATCTCCGGAACGAAGTCAATCAGGCCCTCGGGAATCAGCACCACTCCGTAGTTTCTCCCCGCCGCCGCTCTCTTGACCACCACGTCCTGCACGTATAACTTCACTTCTTTCAGGGTCATCTTCTTCGCAACAACCTCTTCTCCCACGAGAGTGATGTTAGGATGGGTTTCGAGAGCGCATTCCAGAGTCACATGGGACGCGGCGCGGCCCATGAGTCTGACGAAGTGATAGTATTTGGCCGCCGACTTCGAGTCGATCATGACGTTGCCAATCAACTCCGAGAAGATCTTGCACGCAGTGTCGAAACCGAAACTAACGGGCACCTCCTTCGACTTCAGATCGCCGTCGATGGTCTTCGGGCACCCGATCACCCTCGTCTTCAGCCCCTCGTTCTTGAAGTACTCCGCCAGCACACAGGCATTCGTGTTGGAATCGTCACCGCCGATGACGACCAGACCGTCCAGATCCAGGCTCTCCACGGTCGACTTGGCCCTCTTCATCTGCTCGTCGCTCTCGATCTTGTCACGCCCGCTACGGATGATGTCGAGCCCGCCCTGGTTGCGATAAGGGTAGAGGAAATCGGCAGTAATAACCGCATACTTACCCTTCATGATGCCACCGGGACCGCCCAAGAAGCCGTACAACGTGCTGCCGGGCACGTTTTTCTCAAGGTAGTCGAAGATTCCAGCGATCACGTTGTGACCGCCGGCCGCCTGGCCTCCAGACAGAACAACACCCACCTTCAATGGCGCCGAGCTCAAGGTGTTGGACTCTGACGGCTCCACGATGGCAGTCGGCTGCCCGTACATGCTCTTGAATAGAGCAGCGATGTCCTCAGAGTTCGCAGCGCTGGTCGTGGGACCGCCATAGCTGATCTTGAACGATCGCTCCAAAACTGCAGGCAACACAGTCTCGTACTGAAGACGAGCCTTCTGAAGAGTGCTGTAGTTGCTCAAGATGTCACTGGCGGGAGCCATGGTCGGCTGGCTGGTCAAGAGATGTGGCACGAGTAGTAGTGCAGACGAACAAGCGCGCGAGCTTCTGGGATATGGCGGAGCACGCACGACCGCCTTCGAAAAGCCCAGCGAAGACCGCGCACCACGCACCCTTCCCTACAAACCCTCAACTCTCGTATCGTAAGGCTCTGACTGACCTCGACGGTGTTCGCAAGTCTCCAAGTCGGGTTATAACCTCGTGTGCTCTGATGCTGCGCTGATTAACCAAGGCCACGACGGCAAAACGGGGACTTTGCCGTCCCGCTTCCGTGCACCTGCTGACTCGGCATTGGCCGCGCGAATGTCCAACTAACCACGGTACCTACGGCGGGGCCAACAATGTTTTATTGTTTTTTCAATTATTGTTTTATTATTTTTTAGGGGCCAACAATTTGGCATTGGCATGGACGGGCGAAACGTCGTTTGGCAGCGATAGGCGGGCGTGGAGATCCGCTCACATCCGCGGACGTGCTGGGATTCAGTTTGGTAATCTGGCGGGGCCACGGCGTCCGAGATTTTGGCCCTGCCGCACCACTCACCGAATGTGCAAAATGAGAATGAATCTTCAGCTAGAATGGGAACATACCCCGCCGTACCTTGTGTCCTTTTCACATTTGGCGAGGGCATTTGTCTACCCGTTCCAGTTTGGGCGGGGTGATTTTCGACCCTTCTGTTCACTGATGGCCTCAGGTGGAGGCTTGCTTGCGGCTGAGGACCTGAGGACGTGAGAATTGCCTTTCGGATTGGCCAACCATGGGGGGGGAGGCCGCGGGGCACGCAGCCCTAAGAGCTTTAGCTTTTCTTTTTGTCCACGACCCAATCAAACTGGTGGAGGTGATAAGAGCATCCCCCACGAGTTGTGCCCGTGCCCCACTTGAGGAGGTTTAGTTCTGGTTTTGGAGTATTCACGGGTCCCTGCCGTCAGATCTGAAAATCTTATGGCCACAAGGTGACCACATTGAAAAGATACTCAAAACATGCCCCTGCTAGCTGCTCGTGCTGGAGATAGGGTCCAGTTTCCATTTCCTGAATTTCATGAAGCCGATGGGTCCCGTAAATTTTAAACAGGTATATTGCGCAACTATCATGGTCTAGACTTTTCCTTCCCATGCAAACCTCCTACCCCATCCCCAAATTGTGACCTTGATATCCCGCCGACTCTGTCTCCCCTTCAACCGTTTCCACACTGCAAAGTCAGCATGAATCCCACACTGGACCGGCTTAGGGTAGGGGTTTGAGTGCTGTCTTAGTAAGGTGGGGGGGAGAGGTGGAGGGGGGTCTGGCATGGAGGGGATGGAGAGGAGGTTACTGTCTATGGATGGCTCTTCAGTTGTTTGTCGTGCTACATTCTTCTCTCAATTTCTCGATTTATGCGTGTCATCCTTGTGCAGCGGCCATGCTAATCTTCTCTGTATCGTTCCAATTTTAACGGATGTCCCGAAGGACATCTTCTTCTTCTTCTCTCAATTTCACCTCACACTACCTACCTACCATCACTTCAAAAAAAAAAAAAAAAAAAAAAAAAATACAGCCCGGACAGGTGCTAGTAACTGTGTTCACGAGAGAACATGTGGGGGCTGCTCCCAACCGGCAGGTGGGCGATACCGGTCAGGGGACAGCTGGTAACATCCGGGACCATGCGAACAGGACCAATCACTGTGCCTCCACTCAGGTCCCCTTCCCTACGAACATCAGCAGACGCTGCTCAATGTGTCCCTCCTTAATGGATGCCTCAAAAGGATCAGTTCCATCAACAGCTGTCGTCAGCTGAGGGCACCAGGTATTTCTGTTAGGGCCCTAGAAAGAATGCAGTCCATGACGTATTATATACTCGGATGCTGTACCCGCTTTCGAGCTGCAGCTGTCGCTCCCCGTCAACAGATGGAGCCTTGGCTTACCTGCAATGAAGTTAGACCACAACTACCTGCAGCACGCCTGTCACCGAAAAGGCTCCACGAAGTCGGGAGGCCTGTAATGCACCGACGCCGCCAATGGATTTTATCGACGGCGGGCCCAGCCTCCTGACACGTCAGGTGGTAGGCTACTAATTGAAATTCGGAGGCCTGGAGGTAGTGGTGGTTGTGTGTGGGGGGGGAGGGAGACCACAGTCCAGAGGGAAAGGTTGAATCAAAGTGCCCTTGCCGCCTTGCGGATACGGAAACCAAGGAGTCCCAGTGAGAAACATGGGGTTGTGGCCTCGACCCCTGAACCTTTAGTAGACCGAAGACAGGGTACCCCCGGCTTTTGCTTTTTGGTTGAGCTGGTTCCCCACTGCTCAAAACGTGTGGAAATGGCTCCGGATTTCAAATCGGGGAAGTGGGAGGGGCAGACAAAAATTGCCCTTCCCCTGCAGCCCCCGTCTTGTCCCTCCACCAGCCCTCCTGCCCCCACGTCTCCACCCCAGACCGCCGCACAGCTGGCCCCGTCCCCTGCTCATCCTCAACCCCCTCAGCCGGGCCCGACCACCGCCGCCCCACCCAGCTGCACCCCCTGCCCTGGCTCCCAGTACGCAGTCCCCGCCCCCGTGTCCCCCGCCCCCCACCCCTGACCCGCGATACCCAGCCTCTCAACTTTGAAATATCCATTCTCTTTGGCACAGATGTTTTTTCATTGGCTTAACCGTTTGTGTTTTTCTTTTTCCCTTCTGCTAAGGAGGCTAACCAGTATCCCTGATTTTTTTTTTTTTAAATCATTGCCGAAACTTGGAGCTAAAAATTGACAAATTCAGGGACATCCGAAGTCGGAGGCTTTTTTTTTTTTTTTTTTACGATCAATTCACAACTCCATCTATTCATGGGGAGCAGCACGTGCTGGAAAACGGGTCCAGCGTTCCATATACATAAAGATCAAAGTACAAACACATGCCGCAACCCAGACCTCTTCTCCAACAAGGGGCAGCAGAAAACTATAATGGGTAAACCTCAACACTCTGCACCCAACTGCCCACTCTCAGCAAGATCCTCCATCTGTTAGGTCCATAAACCATCTCCATCTAGTCTGTTCCAGGCAACTATGTACTGCCTCACAAGTTGCATCAAGATTTTTTTTTTTTTTTTTTTTTGCAAAATGAGCAACACCTGCTGGAAACCGGGTCCAGCGTCCCATAGATACAACCATATCCTCACAAATTGGCACAAACTGGGAACCGGGCCCAGCGTCCCATAACGAGCACATTTCAGAAAAGTCATCAGAAAATTCCATGAAAATGAGACTAAGAACCTACTAAGAATTTTAGAGCTTCTCCAGACCTTTTTTGCGAGAAACTTCAGAGTCAGACAAATTTCGGAAAACCCTCAAGGATCCACCCTCAGTCCTCTTACCTCACTCCGGCAAGACTTACTGCAGCAAAGCCACCATCTCTACTGCTGCTGTGCCCTATTTCTATCCTACCACATCAAGATTAAACAACCGTTACGACACAGGTAGCAGCCAAAGCCGACGCACACCTCTCCTTCTCATCCTTGCTGACGGAAGAAACGGATGATTATCATCCCCTCGTCTATACCATCTGCTCTATCAAGGTGAGCAAAGGCCAATGCTCACTAATCTCCAATGAGCTCAATCACACTCTGTGTACTTTACCTCCCTTACTTCAGAAGGATCTTCCATTCAGATAGCGACTGGTTCATCGCAATATTCTTCCCATTCTGATTGCTCTGTCTGATCGAAGAGTTGCTGGAAGTTAGCCCTGCCATTCCTCCCAGCTCTCACATGCAATATGACCATCTACATTCCGATTAAGCAAATAATAACAAGGGTGAGATAAACAGGAACATGGAAGTGTTTCAGACCTAACTATTTTTCTAAAATTATGGATATAATTGGCTACAGAGTCCAGACCTATGTTACCAGATTGGACATCCGGGACCCCCCGGACCGTTCGGGGTTGTCCAATCGGACAACTGGTCGGACGTCCTGCCCGGGCAGTCTGTTCGAAGCCCGAATGCCCCCCCCCCCCCCCCCCCCCCTCAAAAAAAAAAAAAAAAAAAAAAAAAAGAACCCTGGAAAAACTATGTTATGCAGAAAAATAAACTTAACAACTTTTGCTCCGGGGTTACATCCAAATTATTTATCAAATTTAAAATAAAACATAAACTTGAAAACACCCCGAACTGAAACAAATTTTAAATTTACCATTTTCGTATCCACTTGATGAGTCCTTCTGGTGGTTTCTTTTTTTTTCCATAACAAAAAGGAGGAGCTCCTATACATTAATAGGGAGCAACACTTGCGGGAAAAGGGGTCGAACATCCCTTTTGCACAACAAAAACTCTCTCTCTCTCTCTCTCTCTCTCTCTCTCTCTCTCTCTCTCTCTCTCTCTCTCTCTCTCTCTCTCTCTCTCTC